TTATTTATTACAAAATTTATAAATTTTATATTTTAGAATAAAGTTGTGATATATTATAATAGTAAGTGAAAAAATAATATTTTTTTGTCAGTCCCTATACATAATATTAGAATGAATATATTTTTCTTTTTTCTATAGTATTCAATTATGGATATTTTTTTTATTATATGAAAACGAAAAATAAGATTATTTTAAAAAAATTAATATTGTTTGAACAATGAGTTAATTTATGTTAACAACCACAAAATGAGAGTGCATATAATTTAGTTAGATCAAAAATCAAAATATCATAAATGAATCGCATCTAAAACGTAGATTATTTTGAATTACTTAAGAAAATTAGCTATTATTTTGAATTAATTTAGGAAATTATTTTTTTAATTTTGATTCATTGGTTGTTGAAATAGAGATTTGTTTGAACTAATTACGGAATTTACCAATTATTCACATAATCAAATATGTTATGAACATATATTTGGTATATAATAATACCAAATTCAATCCGTGTGTGGAGTCTATATTTTCATTTTACAATCCCTATAAAAATATTGCGGCACAATCTATTATTTATTATTTTCAAAATTGTTTGCCGAATCAAATTTTCAAATATTTAGAAGTGTCAAACCTTATTTAACTCATTTCATCATAAAATCTTAGAATGCCGTCTGTTATAAGGATCATCACTTTCTACCATATAATACATTACATTTAACCCGCCGCCTACTATAAATATTTTAAACATATCTTTTTAGAAAATCAAATTAATGTATTTATAATTTTTTTTTAATCTTTTTAATCTATTAAATATTTATGATATTCTTTAATATATTAAATTAAACTTTTTTAAAATGTTCCAAATTAAAATCTTTAAAAACTTTTATTGTAGTATGTAAAATTATGAATTAAAAAAAAATGGTATGAAATTAAATATAAATATTCAAATATTTATAAGGATCATAACTCATTTCATCATATAATATATTATATTCAACCACCGCCTATTATAAATATTTGTTTCAAAAAATCAAATTAGAGTATTTATACTTCATAGATTTTTGATCTATTAAGTATTGATGATATTAAAAAAAAAAAATATATTACTCAAATATGAATTTTTGACCCGTTAAATTTGTTCTTTCATACATTGAATAATTTATATTCGTTTTTAAAAACTCAAATCTTGGTATATGCGGAAAAAAATTACTTTTTTTTTTATTATATAGATGATATAATGATTTATTTATTTATAGAAATAGAATCATATAAAGATGAGAGGTGAAGTATAATGATTAATAACAAATTAATCTGGTAAGTTAGATATCAAATCTTATATGTTCATTTTGATTGGTCATTCTTTTTAAAGAAATTAATAATAGATTTTCGTTTTTATAATTTAATTAAATTAATTAAATTTCATAAAATATATTTGACTTGTTTATCTTTAATGAGTTGAATTAATTTACTCTATAAAATTTTATTTCTAATGGCATTCTTAAGTAAATTCTTACAAAGGGGAAGGTTAATTAAGGGTAATTATAAATTTTACTCCCCAAATAATAGTATAGGATTAACGTGTAACTTATATAACTTATATAACATATGCTCAAATTTATCATGTTAAATCATTTATATTATATGAACGGTATTAGGCTAATAGCTAACTTATAATGTAACCTGTATATTTACTCTAATAATTTCATTATTACAGGTAACTTATAAATTATCATACTGGTAATTAATTAGTTATTACTGGTAAATTATATGTTACCATCTTTGTATGCGTTGCTAATTAATATTGTACGTTACCCATATAACAGAACCGAACCCAGAAGAATGTGATAATGGTCGTTGCCGCCAACGATTCCAATTCACCTCTTTTACTCAATAAACCTCATCAAAACTCAACTGACAAATTCCTCATTGCACAAATCAGTCGGGTTTTGATATTACATCGAGATTTGAAACCACCATCGTGTCTTGGTTTCAACCTTCACGGAAGCAAAGTCGGAACAACCACTATCAAACGGTTGGCTCTGTCACAAAATCAAATCGACCATTATCTTTTTGAAACACAACTTGAATCATGAAAAAATGTGACAGTGGTCGTTTTCCACCAACGATACCCATTCTCCTCCCTTCCCTTGGTTTTCGTTTACCATTGTCATAAGTGAACTACACAACTCACCAGTTTGCTTCTCTAGCCAGCTTTAGCTCTCTATGATTTTTTTTTCGAATCCATTGTAATCATTCCGTCGAATATTTGTGGTTTTGGGTTATGGGTGAAACAAAAGAGAGAAAGGAACGAGAGAGAGATACACTAAGGATAAGATTGTCTTTTACACATATACAGTAGAAGTAAAAAAGTGATGAAGAGAGAGAGAACTAATTTACGATTCTTCTAAGCATAGATTGTCATAATATCCTTAAATTTTTACGGTATGAATAAATGTTATTAGAAATTTGTTGGGTGTTCCACTGGATCTGGATTAGACGAGAACTATCACTCTACATCGTCTCACGTATCACTATTTTGATTACCTTGTTTATATATTTTTGGTTTGACATTCCATTCATCGATTTATCATTTTTGGTTCTAGCGAAACTCGTTAACTTAAGAGGAGAGGCTTGAAGGACATGTAGTGAGGCTCAGAAGAGAAGGCGGTGATCGGAGGTAGAAGCGGTGAGGCTCGGATTAATCTGACCAAAATCTTTAAGTTTAAAACGCTATCATTTTCTTTAAAAAAGATCAAACTACCCATTTATTTTTGATCAAACCCGCTATGCTCACGGCCCTAAACGAGCTGACCCGTTTAGAATCCTTTTATTCTAGGGTTTTGTGCAAAAAAATCCTCCAACTCGCCAATTTTTGCGACTTTACCTTTCACCTCCATAAAATGCAGATTAATCCTACAAAATCAAAAATAATACGCAATATAATCTTTATATGTATATTGTAAACGTTTTCACGGTCACATACATTAGATTTTTAAAATTCTAAATGTAGAATTAAACTCTTTGTCACGAGGGCTTCGATTTGATATTTTATTGTCAAACTTTTAAAAACTTGACAGCAAAGAAGGGTTAAATTAAGTATTATTTTAGATTTTGTATGATTAATATGTATTTTGTGGATGTAGGATTCACACTCGATTGTCTTTAAGTATATTTGTGGAGAAAAACTCTAAAATCAACAAATGAAAATAAGGATTTGAAAAGGAAAGTGACCAAGAAACTAAATAAAGCGAAAGAGTTTGGCAAGAATAAAATAGTAAAAAGCCTTGCGAAATTGTAAAAGAAAGAGTATGTTGTATTGCTTGATGGTAAGAGGTAAAAGGTTGTTCTCCCCCCAAACACATGCGTTTGAGGTTGTTTTTATAGAGAAAACATGATCAATGCGGTCATTTACTGCTCATAATCGCATTGATCCGCATTAATCATGTAGGTTACAATTTGACCGAAACGGCTTGAATTTGAATTATCTTGGGCTTCGTGTGGATCTTCCGAACTCTTTCTTGTTGACTCCGAACTCCTGCGTCTTGACGCTGCCGCGAACCTCGAACAATATTCTCCTCGCTTCGGCCTTTTTTTTATGCACACTATATGTTGAATAAGAGCGAACTCCGTACTGGTAAAGATCGAGCTCTTTAATAAACTGAATCGAACTTCCGACAGGTCGAGCTCGATTCTCGCAATGAAATATCTAGAAATCCAAGAGGATTATTATGTAATAATGACGTGGACAGATCCAAGTGGATCCTACCGAAGATGTGTGGGATCCGGCCCCAACATTTAGCCCCCCAAGTCTTGCGAGCTGAGTGCTCGGCTTGGAAGACTTAAGTAAACTATAATTAATGACTCGAGATCTTTAACATTCCGGAATTATTCCATGTTTTACGCTATTACGCCGATCTCGAATAATTAAATGATTTGATATCCCTGACAACCGTCATCATTAATTTTCTAATTTTATATTAATACCACGGGGAAAATCGTCCCACTTCCCAATATTCTCGAGGCGGTTTTCTGCTAAATAAGGTTAAATGGAACAACGGCTTTTACAGCAGCGTACATTTACCTCTAAAAGCTTTTACCAAACCAGAAAAAGAGAAACCTCTTAGTAAAAGATGTCTTCCCCAGCCGTCTATGTTTCGGAAAACGAAGATGACAGTCAAGGAATCCCTGTTCCCAGAGGGGATGAAGTCTTCACCCAAAGGGGAGACAAATTTGGTCCGCATTTCAGGTCTTAGTCGACCTCTGCTTCCCTTGGCGCTCTTCGCCGCCTTTGTAACATCCCCCATGAAATTGAATTCTCTCTTCCTAGACCCAACGAGTCTCCGGAAGTGGTGCGAGAGGGTTACTGTTGTGCGTACGAAGTATATTTCAAAGGTTGTGGTTTGTTTTTTCCCGTACCGGAAGTTCTTCTTTATACCTCCTCCACCTAGGGATTGCCTTTCCCCAAATGGCTCCCAACTTTCTTCGATACGTTCTGAGCACCCTGACTGTTTCGGCAGAAGCAGGGTTTTCCCTCTCCACCAGCGAACTCTTCGGGCTATTTCGAGCCCGTGAATCCGCAGCAGCGGGTATTTTTTCTATAAACCCTATCCTTGACCGTAACCTGATCGACGGAATGCCCTCGAATGATAGGCCTTGGAGGAAATACTAGTTCTTTTTCCGAGTCAATCCCCATTCCGTTCAAGGTCTTTCCGGTCTTCTTCTCGCCAATTGGTCGGCTAAACTTAGTTAAAAATCCAACCTTTATTACTTTCCACTGTATTATGTAAAAGAGATAGAATTCTTAACTCAATACTTTGTTTCAGGGAACCAGACGATCCCCCGCCCGACCGTTGACTTCTTGTCCTTCTTTCGAATTGTTTCCGAGGGTGAAACAAATCGGAATTCCTTCACCCTTCAACGCATTCATAAAGCGGGGCTCGCCATTAAAGACGGTCAGACTCACCCCCTCGATCCTCCTCCCGAGGAGAAAGACGTCTCGAGCCTGAATGCTCGAGACAAAAAGAAAGATACAGGCCGAAATCAAGGCTCTTAAGGATCAGCTATCCAAAATCGAGAGAAAGAAACGGATAGCTGCAATCTCCAGGGTTGGTAACTTCCACAGGAAGTCCCTCTTGGTTGATGATGGTTCATTAAAAGCAGCCCTGTCAGTCACGGTGGATACTCATGGAGCCGAGATCCTTAACGACCCTCCAGTTGCCACCGCAATTTGCCCTTCCGAACCAGGGTGTGAGGGAGAAATAACCTCTTCTCCTTGTATAAAGAGGAAGGCTCCAGATTCCGATAATCTATCAAACGAGAGACTTAAAACCGTGAGATTAAGTTCTCCGCCACGAGTCTCTAGCTCTCTATGTTCTGTTTCTCCCTCTTCAGAACCTTTAAACTCCAAGCTCCCTCTTCCGGGAGACAGAGTAATTTTAGAGGAGATAGATGAACCGAGACCGGAGGCTCCCCTATCTCAAGGACTGAGTGTTAGGACTCAAAATCCTTTACCCGCTTCGATTTCAGGTAAGTTTTTACTTAGAAAGCGAGCATTAGCAAAACTTGCTACAGATTGCATCTATTTTATTAATCTGTTATTCTCCTCTGCTTCACAGGCGGAGAAGACATTGGAGACATCTTCCGAAGTTTCCAAACCAGGGAAGGGGCGTCGCTTCCTCCTTTTTCGGTTTGGAGGCCGGAAATCCGTCAGATGTTCGCCAATCGAGCTTGCTACCTATCCCAGGTTCGGATCTTTTAGATTATGACAACCTCCCTTCCTTAAGTAAAAGCTTTTTGTCTAAATGACAAGTTTTTTCTTTTTTTTACTCCGAAGCCGTTTATGGAGACTAATGGAATGATCTTCCATTATGAGAACCTTCTTCATCAAGCGAAGAGAGAGACCGCAAAGGCTAAGAAGGAGGTTGATGAACTTAGATCAGCCAACCAATCTGAGCGACTTGAGCGGGAAAAAGCACTCGAGTCATCTTTTGAAAATATGAAGAAAACTCTAGCAGCTAACGAGCAACACATCAGAATTGCGAATGCTGAAAGAGATTCTGCGAGGTCCAATGCTCTTCGCTTGGAGGCTGAGCTAGAGGAGAATACGGCTTTGTTCGAAGAAGCAAATCAAGAGATCGAGCTTTTAACCAGGAACAGGGCTCGCGATATTGCTGAAGCCGAACATAATGCTCGAGAAGAGATGAGGGGATTCGGTAGGCAACTTATTCAATATGTTACGAAGTTCATCAAGGACGAAGAGGTCTAGACTAAACTTGTAACAGATCGAGCCGAACTGAAGAGCAATCTAGACCTGATTAAGGAACTAGAGGCTGGAAGAGTTTCGTTCGAGAACGAGAGGAGCGAAGTTGCTGCTGAACTCGCTATGGTTGAGTCCGAGTTATCCTCGGCTTCCCGTCCTACTCTCGATCTGAAACAATTTTCTTTGGTATTTGGAGATTCCCCATCTCAATTCGAGGTAGGGGAAGGTTCTCCAGAGGTGTAGGAACGCTCTTTTTTTTTTTTAAAGAATTGTTTTGTTGAGTCCATGAGGATTATTCCGTTTGATGGAAATATTTTGTTCAATTAATGTGACTGAACACAACCATGTACATGCTCTGGCATATGGTTTTTTTTTTTATAGCAAAAACGTTTGGACACGATTCTAGGTTTGCAAGTCCTAGCCCGCCAAAGAGGTTTTACGAATTGTGAGAGATGAGCTGATCAGGCTCACTTGCCTTTTTTAAAGAAAAAATCTTAATAAGTATTTTTCCTCGGTCTCTCGAAGGCGAGGATGGAGGTCGGCTTAAGTTTTTTTATATCGAGGGATAAGATTTATAATTCATGAGAATTTTGTCATAAATATGACCAGGCAATGGTTTCGATCATTGCCCATGATGGCTTTGGAATCGCTGGGCCGCGTTTTAATTGGATCTGAAGCCAGCTCTAACAGGCCAACAATATATAATTATTTTTAGAAAACTGAACCTCTTTCTCCTTTAAAAGGAATTCCGAAAGATCACCATACTTTATTATAAAAAAAAAAACTTGAAAAATGCCGCTGTCTTATTTCAGATCAAGCTCAAGAATAACAACTTCAAGTGGGAACCCATTGTTTGAGTCCGAAGACGGATTCTCTCCAAAGGGAGTTATTCACCCAACGTTTTTTCATTTCCGAACAGGGAAGAAAAGGGTCAAATGTTATGACTTTCTGGAAAAGGTTCATTTTCTAACTCTTAGTCTTCTCAGAAAACTATCACTTCTTTTCTTTTGGTCATTTGACAAAATGTTTGTTCAATATTTATTTGATAGAGATTTAATACATAGCTGATAGAGATTTTATATTTCAAAACTTGATGGTTAAAGTGTAACAGAGACTAACTTTATTGAAAACAGGTTGCATTTGGAAGAACTGCAAGCTACAGATGCAAGATGTGCAAAGAATGAAACACTATTGTGGAAATATCACACAGAAAGGTTCCCACAATGGATCAAAGATAAGGTTAGAAGAATGTCAATTATGTAGTTATTTTATTTATTGTTACTGAATTGTTTTCTATATCATGTAATGAAATTTTCTATGTTTCATGTTAGATACCAAGTAATTCAAAAGAGCATTCTAGTAGGCTGAGATGGCTTGCTTTTGGACCAAGACATATTGCTCAAACTTACAAGGGGTATATAATTAATGGTCAGCGGTTCCACACTGATGATGTCAAGAGGAAAACCTAGAATAGTGGAGTAAATTATGAAGCATTTTCTATGTGTAGATCAAGTGCTAAAGATACTAGACAAATGGCTGACATAGTATCATTTTATGGAGTGATAAAAGAGATCTTGATGGTGGACTACCAAATGTTCCAGATTCCACTTTTTAGGTGTATTTGGGCTAACAAAGGGAATGGAGTGAAAGAGGAAGATGGTTTCACACTAGTCAATCTCCATATGAACCAGTCAGCATTCTTAAATGATCCTTTCATTCTGGCATCGCAGGCTAAACAAGTTTTTTACTCTAGAGAAGATGATTGCTCACCTTGGTATGTTTGTATGAGGGCGCCACCAAGAGGATACCATGAGCTAGAAACAGTAGAGGAGTTTGTTTCTGCACCATTATCAGTCCAGCCAATTGAAGATTTAGGAGATCAATCATCTGATGACGAGAGTTTTTGTGTTAGGTCTGATTGTGAAGGTGTAATAGTAGAGGACTAATTAAAATCTTTCTTTTTGTTTCAGGTAATCAAAGACAATGAAAACTGTAGGTGAAATCCGTCGCAGTAAGCGCCAGGCAGGCCTTGATGTCACTCCTGTAGTGTCATTGAAGAAGAAGAAGAGAAACAAGAAGACTATCATTGAAGAGAATGAAAGAGATGAGACTGATGAGAGAATAGAAGTGGCTAATGAAGGAGAAGATCGTGTAGAGGAAGAAGATATTGGAGAAGAAGATATTGGAGAACAAGAGAATAAAGCAGAAGTTAATGAAGAACAAGACAATGGTCAATCACAAGAGAAAGAAAGAGGTAATGAAGAACTAGAAGAACACTCACCCCAGCCAATCCCTCCATCCACTGCAGGTGCCTCTGAAACACAGACACACCAATCAGACACCAAAAAAAGGAAGTCAAGAGGTCCAACTAGAATGCGCAAAGTGGCAAAGAATCTTGAGGAAAAGGTAGAAGTGGAGTTTAATGCTCTTGGTGAGCATGTTGGTAAGGGATCAGTGACACTCTCCTCTTTCCTTGGTCCTCTAGTGAGAGAGCATGTGCCTGTACTACTAGATGACTGGAGACAGCTTGATCAAAGGACAAAAGACGTAATGTGGGAAGAAATTCAGGTTATTATGAACTTTTTTCTTGAATAAAAGTTATATTGGAGTGTTTTTTTATGTCTAAACATGGTAATGTTTGACAGGGGAGGTTCAATATCAAAGAAGATTGGCAGAAAGAAGCACTATTTAGGCAAATGGGTGGTCTGTGGAGGGCTGCCAAATCTAAGCTTGTTACTAAAGTTAGAACTACTAAAAGCAAAGTTGCTCTACAGCAAATGAAGCCTAGCAACATCCAATGTACATCAGCTTGGAACAGTTGGGTGAAGAACAAATGCACAACAGCTTTTAAGGTTATTGTTTACTGTCCTAAGATAAATTTTCCTTTAAGTAGTTATAGTCATCTGACTCTTTTTGTTTATAGGAACGAAGTGAAAAATACAGGCAGCTGAGGAAGGGTCAAATTCCTCACACTACCAGCCGCAAAGGAATGACTCGCTTAGCTGACGAGATGGTATGTATTTTGTTTTGAGTTTGTATAGTTCTATTAGTAATTTACTAATGAGATGGTATATGTGCATGAGCTTGTAGAAAAAAAACATTTCTGATCCTAGAAAAGTCACAAGAAGTAAGGTGTGGATAGCAGGACATACACATTCTGATGGGAGACCTATGAGAGAAGAATTTGCAGAAACTATTGTAAGTACACATAAAATCTTACTAAATTGTTCTTCAAGTTGCTTTAAATATTATTTCTTTATATTGTGAATATAAAATTTGGTGACAGGAAATGATCAAGACAATTGATAGTGAAATGGACTTCACCACATGTACGGATAATGTTAGGGAAGATGCTGTGAGTCAGGTACTAGGAAAAGACAGACCAGGAAGAGTTAGGGGGATGGGCAGAGGCGCAACTGTTACTAAGTTAGCATTCTTACAGACTAGAGACTCACATGTCCAGAAGCTTGAAGCTAGTCAAGCAGAATTGCAAAGCAAGCTTGAAAATTTGCAAAATGTGGTTAAAGACTTAGCTAGTAAAAAGGTAAAACTTTTGGCACTCATTGTTTCACAATGCCAACTTATATAAGTTTTGGTTAATTATGTGTGTTTTGGTCCTTGCAGAGACAGAATGACGATGTTACTATGTCAGAATTAAGCAATGTTAGCAAAGAAGGAGTAAGGTGCCAGCTTCTAGATTGGTGTTCAAATGATGAGGTGGTTGTTGCTGAAGGAGATTTTTGCTCCAGTGAACACATATATAAGATTGGTCGAATACCATTAGGTCGCAATGCAGCTGCTGTACTTGTGAAGTCAACATCTGTTATAAATGCATCTGTCTGGAGACCTACTCCAACCATTTTCACACTTGGTGAGGCTGTTGGACATAAAATTGCATGGCCAGCTGACAAGATTATATTGGATGACGATATTAACTTGTCCCAACCTACTAACACTGTCGGATCAGAGCAGGTAAATTACAACTACTATTGAGTTCCACTTATATTCAATATTGATTAGAGTACTAATATAGATATATATTTGCATGACTTATTAGCCAACAGATGCATCAATAGGAAGAGTTCACATCTATCAATATTGGAGTGGAGATGATGAATTGATTGCTGAGGGTATGTTGTTGTCAACTGACCATAACGAATTGGTGGATGGTAGACCTCTAGGCCATGGTGCTGCAGTTGTTAAGATCCTGGAGGTGGTTAAACCTGATGCTTATTTGTGGAGACCAAATCCTCCAATCTCATTGATGAGTGATGCACTAAATGAGACCATCGCATGGCCTATTGATAGGATACAGCTGGTTGATGTACCTGATGAATCAACTAGAAAATCACCTCAAGTAAGTTTCTGCAACTAGCTTTTAATTTAATTGGTATGAATACTTAAACTTGGATATCTTAGGATAGTCACATGTTGTATTGGATGTGTTGATGTTGCTGTGATGTTAGTCTGATGTAGTTCATAATTTTTGATTTTAGAGTGCTACTACTCTCAGTGCTACTACTCCCAGCACTGCTACTAGCAAAGGTGCTAAACATAAGTGTATTCTATTAGATATTGATAACTCTGGGCAGAGAGTTGCAATAGGTCGGGTGTCTTCAACTGATCCAACAGAGAAGGTCCATCACGTCCCTTTAGGTGCCAACGCTAGCAAGGTCTGGGTAGAGGTTTCCAAGGTTGATGGTGCACGAGTGTGGAGAGCAAAATCTGAAGTTAAATTCATTGCTGATGCAATAGGAACCACAGTGGCTTGGCCTAATGACAAGATTGTATTCATGTGATTTGGTTTTTATGAAGTAGTTTGAACTAAGTGTTTTTAAATGTAGAACCTTATTGTATCTTTTGGGACAAAAAATTTAATGAGTATTTGTTTTAAGTATAACCAGATTTTAATATTTTATATCTATTCAAATTGGTATAATATAAAAATATAGAAACACTAATATAATGCTATAATAAATTAATAATACACATAACACTGCCCAAAACGTTGTTAATAATATTACTAATATATTTAATTACATTTCATAAAGCGCTATTGTATAGAAACATATAATAGCATTACGTAAAAGCGCTATCTAAAGTGTCTGACCTACTATGACGGGCGCAGAAATAGCGCTTGTCAAAACGCTATAGAAACGTTAGATAGCGTTATTCGGATGCTACGAAAAGCCGTTTTTCCTGTAGTGAACAGATCGTCGGGAGACACAAAGCTTTATGTGATA